AGTGGCTATCACAGTAAATTTTTTACAAATTACACTAAAAAATATTTTCATAACATTGAAGAGGTATCATCAGATGACTCCAACTGGTTTTTGCAAAGCAGTTGATTTATCTAATGTTTTATCAGTTCAAACATACCTTCTGCTAATTTTATTAAAGCATGGGATTTCTTATCACTAGTGCAAACAAAACTCTTGTTTCTCAAGCTGGGTACCCAGAAAACTGAAAACATATTATCTTCTTGACTGAAATGATTCATCTAGTACCACACAAAAATAATGTGAAAGACAAAAATTTTGAAAAAATGGAAGAGGATTTTATCTGGAAATGCAACACTTTCACTCTGAATAGCAGTTCGAAGTATTAGCTACTTGCCAAAATAAGGTCTATCCAAAGTTGCAATTTAAAAGTAATTATAGAAAATCAAACCCAAGAGTTTTTTTTGTTTGGTTGGTTGGGGTTTTTTGTTTTGTTTTATTTGTTTGGGTGGGAGGTTTTTTAGTTGTTTTTTTTTTTTGGTTGGTTGGTTGGTTGGTTGGGTTGGGTTTTTTGGTGGGGTTTTTGTTTGCTTTGAGTTTTTTGTTTGTTTTGAGGGGTGCTAGTTGTATAAATGTGAAAGAAAGGGTACACAAAAATCACAAATATGCATAAGGAAGGCAACAAGAAAACCCTAAAAACAGAGTCTATGATATGACCCAGAAAGACTTCCAAGTATGAAATTTTGCTGAAAACTTGGTTCAAATACATGAATTAATACTGTCTTTCTGCAAACATATTTTTTGTAGGTACTTACAAATATAATTTATGGAAAGACTTTTTTTTTTCATATCATTTAGAGCTTTAAATTATTTTATAGTTTATTTATAGTTTGAGGCAGAGATTATCATATGAAATATACTAAATCAAGCATATGCACTAACACAATGATACAAGTATAATATTGACTGTACACTTTCCGTAATGGCCCTATCTGACATGCTTCTCTTCCATTTGTTATTGTTTAGCTGCCATTTAAGTGCCATCTAAATCAGTTCAGGTTGTTAAGCATTCACTGAAAACAGTCAATGACTGCAATTTTAACAAGATTCAATTCTGAGGAGACCAATTAAACAAAGAAGTACAAAACTGGACAAGGTTGGAATCAGAGAACATGAGCTTCACAAATAGTCAAACTGCAAAATCATTTTAATTTAGATAGAAATTTATTGAAGAAAAAAAAAAGAAATAGTGTCCTTCTCTACCTGACACAATTTTTTTAGGTAGTCCCCGGAAAATATTTTTGCCTGTTACAAATTTAAAGGGAAGGCAACGAGTGCATTATGATTACACCTTCATCAATGTCACTAAGTAAAACGACAAAATCCACTGTCATACTAGAACAATAGTTTTCACAAGCAACTGTACCTCAGTTCAAGCTTCACTTGTTTAAATAAAAACCTTTTGCAAAAGACAACTCTAGGAAACCACCACACTACTTGCTACAGCAATCTGAGAAAATAAACATTTTTAAATCATGAAAGATTTAGTAAAACTTGCATAATTTCACTATCATACTTTCTTAATTTAAAACCCAATTCTCCACTCATACAAATGTGTATTATTCTTCTACTGTACCCACACTCTGGTAAGATCTTGTAAATCTTGCAAAAGGAGTCTATTTCAAGACCTATATTGAGGCTCAATTGTCTTTTCCTTTTAAAGTGCTGACTTATTCTACTCTTCCACAGAACTGCTTATACTTTTTCACCAGAATGTAATGGCATCCTAAATACACCACACCAAAAGTCAAGGTTTCCTTGACTTTCTTCTCAAGATACTGACCTTTAAAAAAAAATAAAAATGCCAAAGCTCCAGCACTGAAGGATTAGTTTTACTTAAAAAAGAATCCTGCACACATATATCTATAAATGCATATAGGTATCTATATATCTATATGTCCAGATACATATACATGTATATGTATGGATTAACATGTGCATACAAATACATATAAAACTTTTGAGCAGCTTGAACAAGACATAAAGAAAAACAATTCTTCTTTTCCAAGATATTATATTCCTCTTCCTTCCATTCTCTTAACTTCCTTAACCCGTTTTTCCTGATGCTCATTAAAATTGTAACTCAGTAAAGACCATTGGTTCCTAACTGTAGTAATTGTTTAATTCTTTTGCATTTGTCCAGAACATTGTTTACATACTCCTTGAGATTACAATTTAGAGTGGATTCACCAATAGAACCTTTGACTACCAGTGAGAGCCTTTTTGGTCTCCTACATTTAAGAAAATCTCAGTTTTATCTTTTGAGGAGTGGGCAGAAAGGAGGAAAACTAAATGATCTTGTTTTTTCTTGTTGTTGTGAAAGACACCTCTCAAATCTTTTATCTATGGGTTCCCTCTTTCCTGCAGTTGATATCAGAATTGCACACAAACATTCATGAAACAGGAAATAAAAATGGAAACACAGAAGTACAAAGAGAAACAATTAATTAGAGATACATTTCTCTGTATCTGCTGACTGTTAACCATTTGACAAACAGAATTCACGTCCTGCACAGATTTACATGAAGAATTTTACTGTTCTAGTTTCCTTCTAGTACCAAGTTACATTTTCCTTCTAGTGAACAGATGCTGCACTGTTATGCAGTAGTTAAAAAAAATAATCATTACCAGTGAATCAACATTTACCATACAACCTTAAGAACACAAATCCCTTTATTTGAGTAGCATTACGCAAAGCAAAATGAAACTGGATGTTCCCTGATTAGGAACAGATATCACATTCTTCATCACAGGATCATAGAATAACAAAATCATGGAATGGTTTGGTTTGGAAGATGATCTACTTCCAACCCCCACTGTTGTGGGCAGGGACATCTTTCCCTAGATCAGGTTACTCAAAGCCAAGGATTTCTTGGGAACTCATTCCAGTATCTTACTACCCTCTTTGTAAAAAATTTCTTCCTCGTATCTAATCTTAATCATAGAATCATAGAATGTTAAGGGGTTGGAAGGGACCTTAAAGACCATCTAGTCCCAAATCTCCTGCCATGGGCAAGAACACCTCCCAGTAAACCAGGTTGCTCAAGGCCTTATCCAACCTGGCTTTGAACACTGCCAGGGTTGGGGCATCCACAAGCTTCTTGGACAACCTGTTCCAGTATCTCACCACCCTCACAGTAAAACTTTCCTTTCTAATATCTAACCTAAATTTCCCCTCTTTCAGTTTGTACCCTTTACTTCTTGTCCTACCACTACAGTTCTTGATGAAGAGTCCTTTTCTGGCTTCCCTGTAGGCCCTTTTCAAATACTGGAAGATTGCTGTGAGGTCTCTATGCAACCTTCTCTTCTCCAGGTTGAACAACCCCAACTTTCTCAGCCTGTCTTTGTCAGGGAGGTGCTCAAGTCCTCATCTACAGTCTTTTAAGTTTAAAACCATTACCCTTTGTCCTGTCACTAGAGGCCCTGGTAAAAAGTCTCTATCCATCTTTCTCATAAGTCCCCTTTAAGTATTGAAAGGTCACAATATGGTATCCCTGGAGCCTTCTGTTCTCAAGGCTGAACTACCCCAGTTCTCTCAGCCTTTCTTCATAGGAGAGGTGCTCCAGCCCTCTGATCATTTTGGTGGACTTATTTGGACCTGCTCCAATAGGTCAATGATTTTCTTGTGCTGGGAGCCTTGGAGTTGGGCACAGTTCTCCAGGTGGGGTCTCACAAAAGCAAACCAGACAGGAAAAATCAGCTCCCTCAGCTTACTGCTCATGCTTCTTTTGATGCAGCCTGGGATACAGTTAGCTTTCTGAGCTGTAACTGCACATTGCTGGTTTGTGTCCAATGTTTCGTCCGTCCATCCATCTATCTATCTATCTATCTATCTATCTCCCCAAGTCCTTCTCTTCAAGACTGCTCTCAATCCATTCATCTCCCAGTCTGCATTGACACTGAGAATTGACCAGACCCAGGTGCAGGATGTTACACGTGGCCTCATTGAACTTCATGAGGTTCTCCTGGGTCCACTCCTCCAGTCTGTCAATGTCCTTCTGGATGGCATCCCCTCCCTCAAGAAAATCAACTGCACCACTCAACTTGATGTCATCTGCAAACTTGCTGAGCGTGCACTCAGTCTCACTGTCTACATCCTTAACAAAGATACTGAATAGTCTTGGTCCCAGTAAAGACTCCCTGAAGGACACCATTTGTTGCTGATCTCTGTACTTTAAGCTCTTGACTGCAACTCTTTGGATGTGGCCGTGCAGCCACTGCACTATCCATCAAATAGTCCATCCATCAAATACGTATCTCTCCTATTTAACAACAAGGCTGTTGTGTGGGGCCATCCCAAAGGCCTTACAGAAGTCTAGGCAGATGACGACTTACAGAAGTCAAGAGAGATAAAAATAACTAGCAAGTGTATGACTAATATATCTGTTGTAATTGCTGAAATATTATGTATTCCTCAAGTTGCAACCTTCCAGAACTGAAAATCTGGGCCATGACTCTGAAATACACTCAGATAAAAAATGTTCTGTGACCCATCACACTCTTGATATTTCAAACTGATTTTTTCACTGTTGTAATCCCTTTTTGTTAGAAGATGCTCATATACAATTGCAAGAAAATAATTATCTAGTCCATCTTAAATATATTTTCTTGATTTTGGTCAAAAGCCTCCTGTTGAAAAGAGTATAAAAGTTCCACTGCTACTAGATCACACAAACTGGGACCTCTGCAATCTCATACTCACTTTACATTCATTTATCCATGCTCATATGTTTCTTAATTAATTACATTTTGTTGAGACAACTTTTATGAGGGGTAGATTAATTACAGCACTTACTTTAACTAAAATTAAAGCACATGATCTAGATTTTGGCACTTGCAATTAATTAAAGTTCACCTTAAAGACTAAATATGAAAGAAATAATTTAAAAACATTAGCTTTAACTATATTCTCATATTTTTTAAGATATTAGTTAAATTAGATTTTAATAATATTTATTCATTACCTTGTCCTAAAGTTTGCAGGATGAGGATGCCCATCATATAATGACAAATAATCATATTCTTCTTCTAGAGCAAAAGACTGAAAGACGATTTGTATTCTGTTTCTTTCTTCTGCTATTATAACCCATGTACAGTTTGCACCATTTGGATATCCATATGGGAAGCCAGGGCTTTCTATAGTTCCATTAAGTCCTTTTAAAGTTCCACCACAGGTATAAATAAATCCTAAAAAAGATACCAAGGAAACAAAAGTCAGCAATCCATTTTTATATCAATCTTCAATAGAATACATCACTAGAATTCATGATTTCTGAAAAAATATCAAAATATTTCTTAGCAAGTACGGCATTTAGAAAGAAAAAGCCAATGTTTTAATACAAATGCTGGCCACTTAATGCAAAACAACCCCACCCACCTAACAAATGTGTTTTCCATACTGTTTATGTAAAGGCATATGGTAGCATCTTTGCAAATAAATATATATAACAACATCTATGACTAAATTTGTCTATGAGGCAAAGTATCCACATCAATTCCTTTTTTCGATAAAAGGAAGAGAAGCAGTCAGAGCAAAGCAAACAAATCTCTTTTGGTACAGGTCTGATATAGATTAAACCTATTAATCTCATGCTCCTCCTCCATATATTTTGGGACCGTAAGAGGCTAAAAGGCTACTTATTATGAACAAGCTTTTCCTAGTGAATAATTCTGGGTCATAAAAGCTATCTACTTAAAGACTTAATCTGAAATACCACCATCATGATACTACATCATGTGAATATTAAGATGAACGTGTTTTGACTGACCCTAAGTGTCTGTTGTTCAACTCCGGCGGTCAGGGAAGCGCCCCAGAGCCACCCCTCACCCACCACACCCCACACCCTCCGTCCACTCCCTTGCAGTGGGATGGGAGAGAGAATGGAAAGAGTAACGTGAGAAAACTCGTGGGTTGAGATAAGGACAGTTTAACAGCTACAGGGAAAGCTGTACATGTAAACATAGAAGATGAAGGAATTCATTGGCTACTCTGTCAGGCAGGTGTTCAACCATCTCCAGGAAAGCGGTTCTACATCATGCCTAATGGTTACACGGGAAGACAAACATCATAACCCTGAACACGGTCCCTTCCTCCTCCTTCCCATCAGCATTTGTCACTGAGCATGGCGCCACCTGGTATGGAATATCCCTTTCATAAGTTATAGAATATCCCTGTCATTGTTTGGAGTCATCTGTGTCCCAGTTGTGTCCCCTCCCAATTTCTTGCCCATCCCCAGCTGATTTGCTGTAACAGGCAGCATGATAAGCAGAGAAGGCCTTGATGCTGTGTAAGCACTGCTCAGGAATAACTAAAATGTCCTTGTGCTATCAACACTGTTTTGGTCACAAATCTAAAACATAATACCATAGAATCTACTATGAAGAAAATTAAGTCTATCCTAGCCAAATTCAGTACAGTGGTCAAAGGTGAAAGGTTGCTCTGCCAATAGATTCCTTTTAAAATGAACGTTACCAAATTTCAGAAATGGTCCCTACATTCAAACACTGATTTTTCTTGGATTATAACAAATTTTCTTTTTATATAGAAAACCCATTTTCTGAGAAAAATAAGAGAACATGAATAATTATAAAAAGGTCTCCTTCAAGTCACTGTGTCCTGGTAGGACAGGTCCTTTTCTAAACTTTTGTTCCAAGTTCTAATGCTCAGTTACAGCAGTTCCTAACTCATTTGGGGCTTTAGAATATTTTTTCTTTCCACCAGCTTCGCAGTCTGACTGTAGGTCTGCATCCTCTCTCCAGGCCTTTTGCTCTCTTACTCCTTAAATATTAGATCAGCTTTCCTGCTTTGCCTTTTGCACCCCCAAAGCTTCTCTTTCCCAAGCACACTCAGAGCAAGACCCCTCTGCTGGGGGGGATTTCATCAACTGAGAGACAGCACAAAACACTAAGCTGCTCTTTCACAGAAACACGATATACATTTCACAACAAACTACAAACAAACAAACCAGATGCCGACTCTTTGATTATACACACATGTATATATTTGAGCTCATTAAATCATCTTCTTCATGGCATATTCACAGGCTTGTCTTTGCACTGAGCATTTATATGTGCAGAGACCCTCTTCTCTGAAGTACTAAGCAAAAATCTCTTAAGATTTTGCACTTTGCGTTGCTACACTGTAAAGTTACTTTTCTTGACAACAGAAGAGGGAGACATACAATGTTTTTATTTCGGCTTTTTCATGTTTATCTCCAATGGTGAGAAAAGATGCCTCTTATGAAGTATGACTACTGTTCCAATACAAATATCACTGTATCAGATATATAGGACAAAAAGGGAATGGAAGATCCTCTTAGAAAGTAATTAGACCTTTGTTTGCCTCATCTGACATATATAGCAAATTTTACCTTCTACTGTGAATTAGCTTAGAGAATTCATTCTCATATCAGTGCCTGCACAACTTTCATTGTTAGGAGTTTGTTTTATTTATCTCTTTCTGTATCTCCCTCATATACTTGAACTATTTTTAAATCTCTTTTATGTGTTATTATTTATTATTTAAGCTCAGCTGTTTTATTTAGCACTTTAAAAGTCTTTTGGAATACAGTTTGTGCACAAGTCACTTTACAAAATTAAACTACATCATAAGCTCTTCATCCTAGAACTCTAACACTTCCCACAAAATACAGTCACTGAAATAAGACTTTAAATAGCTGTGTGTACATATTTATCAATTTAGTTTTTCCTAGAAATCTCTTGCTGAGGCATATTCAATTGAATTAGAGAAAAAAACTTACAGAGAGAGAGATACTTGAAAACTAAATAGCATATGCTGTAAATTTTTATGCATCTCCCCATACCAAGTGCGGAAAGCACAGTGTAAACTTTGTCTCAGCATCATAATATAGTTCCATAATTTAGAACCTTTGTTGCTGTAGTTATGTCATGAAAGCTTTCAATTACATATGGACTGTTCTGTTAATTCAATACAAACTACAAAGAAAAAATCAAATATAATAGGTCTTCTGTTACCAAAATTAAATTATATTTAAAAAAAACCAAAGCCAAAACTAGAACCACAACTATGAGTGAGCAGAACCTTGTGAGATAACACACTATTTATTAAGGAATGTAATGCTTCATACTGGATCCAAAAATTGGTCCTATCCATAAATATATATGAAATATAAAGTTTCACAACTTATAAAAGTTCCACTTACTTCTTTTATTCCATACCCAAACCATAACAAAAGAGAATTCTTCATATTCTGCATGATGATATAACTTGGATGTTTTTCTGAGATGACTAGTAGAATGTAACACAGCTATGCACATGTCAGAAGATACATTTTTAATTCCAAGAATGGAAAAAATACCAACAAACCAACAGTGAAGTTTGATTTTGATAGGCCTACTTTTTTAGTCTATTAAATAAAAAAAACCATGCCAACAGACTCCATACAACATGCACTGTAATCTCTGCTTTCATATGTTAATACATTCTGTGATGTTCTTCACCTTGGCAGTCCAACTTGGTTATGATCAAAATAAACAGCGTGCATTAACTGACTGGTCTGATCAAATGAGGAAAACATGACATTTATTTTCATGAGGTAAAATTCATGCTGAAATAACCAGTAACATATACTGTGATCTTTTTCATCTAGATTTCAGAACTAGCATTCCAAAAAGAAGTTACTTGCAAACTGCTTTTCATTAAGGGGAAGGTTTTATTCAAAGCACACAATGAAGAATTTTGAATAGCTTGAAGTTAGACTAGAAAAGAAAAATTCTTGTTGAAGTAAGTATGAAGATGAACAAAACCACTCATGATATTCTTTTAATAGTGAGTATGATTCAAAGTTTCCATTGCATTGTTTTTTACCAGATTTTAAAATTCAGATGTTTAATTCTCATCAATTTTACATGGATAAATATTTCTTGAAATCAAAAACCACAGCCGCTCTTTCTGATTTCAGTCATCCTCTGATTCATTGTGGGATTACAGTAAGCATCAGTAACATCAGTTCTTAATCTACTTATTCAACTTTCCTTGCCTTCTAGCAAAGCAAGTAATACTTACACAATATCCACACCCCTTGCCCTTGGATTTCCCATAATTATGCTCACCCAGTACACAACAAGACTGTCTTTGGCTTTTTCTCTTCCTTCTGACCATTCAATTATACTGTTTAATAACATATGTCCACACCTCTCACCTCCTTAGTACTCCACACCTTTTGTTTAATCTTCTTTGTTTAATGTGTTCTTTAATAGCAGTCATTATCATATGATAATTATACTGAGTCTACATTGATTAACACACTCTCACATTTCTAAGTTGCTTGTGTATTTCCTTTTAAAGAGGTATTTAATACTTGCTGTCATTTGTTTTAAAAGCAAACTGAGAAAATGGAAGATGATTTGTGCATACCCTGCTTTTTTTCTTCAGTATCCTTTCTGATAAGCTGATCTCCTTTCATTTCTTTGACTTGCACCTATCTTAAAGCACAGTCAATAGAATCTTACAGTACTCCTTAGCCATGTCATCCTTGTTCACCTCTCCTTTTTTGTGCAATAAACCTATTTGCAACATTATTCTTTCCCCCTAGTTGGTGGTTCTATTCCATTCAGAGTCCATCAACTTTGTTCATTTATCTCTCCTGTTCATTACATGTTTCTGCAAGACCTTTCCTGTTTACGATCTTTGATCACCTGACTGTATTGAGCAGCAAGGAGCAGCTACTTTTTACAGTGATCATAAATCAGGAAGGATTGTTCTCCTAATTATCTTCTGTTTTGCTGCATTCTCTTTCTGTTCACTTATGTTATCATCACCTTAGTTTTTATGGTTCTATATGTTCATCCTTTTTGTTAGTACGTCTAAGAACATACTGGAATGCAACAGGGATAGATTTCATTGTGATGTGAACTCATCCCTATTTTGTGAACCCTTTCCTTCCTGCAATCAATCCTTCTCATTTTTGGAAAATATATACACAATATTTCTTTCTAAACCATCTTACCATTTCTATAATTTTACTTGTCCTGTCATGCCTTCCATCACGATCTTTGAATCCAATTATGAAAATGAGAATAGGACACTCTCCAGATGTAATGACTGCATTTTACTTTGGACTGTGTTTGAAATTTATCTTTTTATCTCTTCTCATCATGTCTTAATTCTCTTTAATTTATGCTCTTCCATTTCACGTTATGCCTCT